CATGTTCATTTGTTGCTTTGGGTACTTCTATGTAGTGTGCAAGTTGTTTTTTTGGAAGAATGAAGTGTCTAGAACATTTGATTCCAGAACATTCACCATGATTGCTCTTTTTTTTTTTTGTTTGTTTCTTCATCCCAGAAGTCCTTCTTTCTAGATCTGCTTTTCTTCCAAAAAATGTTGAAAATTTGTTTATGGGATAAATTGTTGCAGCCGATTATCTTCTTTGTTGTCTGACTTGGTTCTGCCAATTCTCGTCGAACCTGATGTAGAAGCAATCGGCGACTTCAAACTTGCTAAAGCCATCATAAGCACCAAAGCCAGTGCAAAGATCTGTTTGAAGAACTTCAAACTTGAACTGTCTAATATTTGCCACAAAGGTGTGTAAAGCTTTTACTTTCAAAGACATGTTTATACACACTGTTTATGGAGGAATCTGATAAAGCCATAATAGTGGGATGGATGCTTTTGGGTTCTGTGTAATCTGATAATGAAATTAAGGAACTATCCAAAGACTTATCTAGCCTCCAAACGTTAGAATTGAAGAGATGCTCCTTCAATGAAGGTGCATTAGGAGATGCTATACCATGACTACCTTCGTTGAGGTGTTTGTGGATTTAGGGATACACTAAATCTGGAGCTGATTGGGATAAGGTACATAAGACGCGTCCAAAATGGATTACTGAGTTCATTCCCATAGCAAAAGTCTCCGTCATTCCTAATGAAAATGGAGAAGATGCAACTGCTGAGATTAAAGCCCAAATTCTAGCTTATTATTTACTTGCTGATCGGAGAACAAATTTTCCATCTATAGTTGTGCTCTTTATCCCCAAGGTTACAATCAATGAGTAAATGTGTGTACCTTTAAGGTCCCTTCATGTAAATAAAATTCTTTACCAGTTGAGATACTTTCTATCTGAGTTTAGTATAATGAGTTTGCTTTCTTAGGTGATAGGAAAGCAATTGCGCCATTGTCACTCTACTTTTCATTTGTATAGAATTTTGACGTGTTGGAGTCTTTTGATGTCTGATAATGCTTGGAACCATGGACTGGTGCAGTAAAATTTCAGCTGCTAATGAATACTTGTGCAGTTTTAACAGGTCAATTGAACATTTGTTATGATTTAATATTTGTCAAGGATGAAGCACATTGCACTATTGTTTCACAAGTGGACAAAGGTGTTCTTACTGTTACATTTCTACAAAGTATTGGCTAGCATATGCTCTAACAAAACCTATTGCCACACTGCTATTTTTGTTTCTTCCTCTATCCAAGTTCTGTATCTTTCCCAACCAAGAATGTTGTAAAAAATTTTACAACAAAGAAAACATTAAAAATTTGAAAGAACAGAGGCTACAATTTCATTTTCCCCAAAATATTTAAAATTTGATGTCATTTTCCTTCATTTTCATTTTATTTCGATTTCTTTCGTAGGCTAATCAGAGAAAACAGAATCGAATACTCTAAATGCGAATTCTATTTCCAAAACATTCATTTCATCTAGTTTCATGGCTTTGGTTTTTTTCTTTGTTTTTAGATCTGAAAATGCTTTTTGTCTAGATCTGGTTTTCATGTTCAAATTCCATCTCAAAGAAATCTTGAAAATTTGTTTATGGGGTAATTTTTTTGTTCAAATCAAGAGTTAGGAGCAGTGGAAGCTTCCATTTTCACGGCGTCAATGAGCCTCTAAATGCACCATTTCCCCACCATCAAATCTACCCACTTCTCTTCTTTGACTTATTTCCCACACAGTTTCTTTGCACAGACATTTTCCACTTCATTCAAGCATCTTTCAGGTTTAGTTATTTTCTACCTTGTTCATTTTCACATCCATGTTGGTTTTTAATTTTTTTTCCTGTAATTTGTAACCAAACCCATGTAAAAATTTGGGGGTACTGAGTGGACGAACCTTAAATTTTTATGCACTTGGTTGTCTTGATTAGATTATTGTTATTTGTAGTTTCTTCATTTTTTTTTAATGATTGGTACATTTGCTTCTTTTTTTCTTATGTCCGATTTGATCTTCTCAATGTTTTTTTTTAGCTATTTTAGAATATAATCAAGATGGGTAACTTATCTGCTGCCTTTTGTTGTTCCATTAAGAAAGGATTTAAGGAAGTCTTTAAGACCTTTTAAAGTAATATTATATTTTCAAATGGTTTATTAGATCCTTGGAGTGGCAGTAGGTGGTACCTTTGGAATAGTCGTGTTCATTAAATTGTCCAATTGCCAAATCATTAATTGTAACGAATGATACACGATTGTAGCTCTTGTCACCGAAAAAGGTAAATCTACCTAACATTTTCAGATGTCAGCCCGTCCAGATGATAGTGGGTTTAAGGCAACCCTACCTTCCTTTTTGCCACTGGTGGGATTAAATCCATGGATGGTTAGAAATCCTACTTTCTCTTTGCCATTGGTGGGATTAAATCCATGGATGGTTAGAAATCCTACTTTCTCTTTGCCATTGGTGGGATTAAATGCATGGATTCTATGTATTGAATCCAATCGTGTCTGTAACAACTCTTTCAATTGAAGTTACATATTACTATCATTATCAAATTTGAGTTATGGAAAAAACATAGTAATTTTTGTATCTGATGAATCAATCTGGAGTTGAGAAAGTTGGATTTTGATGTATTAAAGTCATGAGATGAAAAACTTGTTGCTTCATTTTGATATTTATTATTTCTGATCCTCATTAGGAAATTTGGGAAATGAAATAAATTTGAAAACTCAATCTTTGGCTTCTTCTAAAGCTGCATGGTTTAATTTAATTCTTTGTTAAAGCTCAACAAACAGTTTTTGTCTTTGTTCTTTTGAAAAAAACTTGAGAAATTCTAAATCTTTATTTTCTTTTCTACATCCTTTTTATGTTCACATTGTCTCATTTTAGAAAGTCTACATTTACACCTATTTTATGCTAGTAATGATATAGGTACTTTAAAAGCATTTTGAATTAGCATGGGCCATGAAGCTTTCAATGTTTTTCCACATGCAGGCAGCTACTCAGGACTTTTGCAACAGTCTTGTACAAAATAATCGTAGGTAAAATTTGTGGACTTGATGCTACTCCTGGATAATGCAATTAATTAGTTATTGCTGCAGTTACCCTATTATAGACCTCATTGTTTGTACATGTGAGAACTTGGACTTTTATTTCTCCACATTTTAAATAGCCCAAGTTATATATTTGTTTTATTACAGTATTTATTTCATTTAAAATTACACATTCAATTATATCTTGACCACAAATTTTCTTTCATTAGATATTCCAAATTTGCCAACTGTCATTGCTTCTTTATACTTCACACTTACTAAAAACAAATATTTGCTTCACTACAAACCACTAATTTTACTAAAAGAACACCTGTCCCTTGTAAAAAATCACTTAAGCACCACCTGGCAACCCACTTCCCACAACCATTCCCTAAAATTTTTTGTTTATAATAGTAAACAAAAATTCTTGCCTGCCACTAAACATTTTCCAGTCTGTATTCAAATAGAAATCTAAATTTCACACCACTCATTCTAAACTTTCATCATTTCTTTCCACTGCCACCTCATCTCTCAACATATAAGACACCAAAGAAAATCTTCACACGGTTTGTCTTCTCCAACTTCATTTGCTCATTTCTAACTTCATCCTGGTAATTTCGTTTCTTTCACCCAACAGTATACATTAACAGCAAACAATTTCAAAAACATCATTACATATATCTTTCAATATCTATGTTTCATTTTAACCCTTCTATTTCTAACCATTCTCATCTACTAATCAAATAGAATTCATTGCAGATAGAAATGGCAACATAACACAAACGCATACCTGACATCAAACCTGGAGAGTCTGGCTGGATTGTAGAGCAGTAGTTTCAGAAAAATGCTCTCTCAACAAAGCTCGGAATAGTCCATTGAATTACCAACACATTTGGTTAATGGATCCTAAGGTAAATCTTCTCACATAGTTTAAGTTCCTTTATTTGAAACTTTGATCCACAATAAATCAAAATCATTAACTTTAAACATCTGTTTATCAATTTTTTAATCTAAATTAAGAGCACATAATGTCCTCTCAAACTCTTTCTTCATTTGAAAACGAGATTGCTAGATTTAATTCATTCAAGTTGTAATATTTTTAAGTCTCAAATGTAGCAACTTCCAGAATATATAAATGAAAACATGTATAAAATTGGATTCTAAACATGTAGATATACCCTTCTTTTGAAAGAGGAACACCATTTCAATATCGTTAATGTATTTTATATCCAAATCTATTGTTCTTGTGCACTATATGCTCAAATGGTGAACTTAATTTTCCTTTTCCAAGCTTGTCAAATTTCTGCCTCACCTAACAGTAATTGATGGTCATCCATTGCCTTGAGCAGAACGTGGTCCGGGTTCGAGCCCTAGCATCTCTCAACTCAGATTCTACATCATCTCTATTTGCCATACTTGATTTTGTTCATTATACATATAAACATGTCAGGCTCTGGTTTTTACTTCATATTACCACCGCCAATGTTAGTACCTGTGAACACATATTTTATATAATTCAATGTAATCATCCTTCTAATAAGTTTCATTTTTCGTTGAAGTACCACAACCGAATTTCAACATTATTTCTTACACTACATCACCCACTAATGCGTTGCACGTGCATTCACTAGTAGTAAATATAAAAGAGTACGTATGGCTAATGTTCATAAGCTGAATGGCCATGTAGGCCTAGACGCTTTGGAATGAGCCGTGATAGCCGAGCTGTGTGTAAGTGGGTTGGTTTAAAAATTTGATTTTCCTTTTGTTTGTGTGGTTAACTCTCTCTTTTCATTCATTTTCCTCGTTTCCACACGCAATCTCAATATCTCTCTTCATACTTTCATACATGTTTTCATTTTCTCTGCAGCTGTTCTTTTGCCACCAAAATCACTATCTTTTAATCATATCTTCTCTTGCACTATTGGTACGTTGATAGATATTATCTGTGGCGAACCCTAAATCTTTATTCTTCTTCATTTCTTCTACTATCCAAAATCATCTCTTCTCTTACACTATTGGTACGTTGACGATGTCGTTTTTCTTCTTTTACATCTTTGAAAATCCAAATCCGCTTATTGAATGTAGATTTGGCTGATCTGATCTATGTGTATCAACTAAAGATCAGCTCAGGACAGAAAGATAAACACATCGGTCTAAATGTTCCCTCCCTTCCACATGTTACCACGCACACATTTTTTTATTTTTATATGTAAGATTTTTTGGGAAGAACAATGAAAATGGTCTTTGATTATACTGATTAGAGGTTTTTAGTCATATGGGTTTTGATAATCAATAGATTCAAGGAAATGGGTATTTGATAAATTTGGAAGATTTTGATGTACGAGTCATTGATTTTGTTATTTGATTCTGATTTGTTTATTGCTAAAATCTAGAAAACTTGATATCTTGCTTCTATACATATAAAGATTGAATTTCTCTAACAAGAATTATGTTCTATTTTTGCGTAATCGAAATATTGCAACTTTTGGTAATTAATCAATCAATCTTATTGAATATCATGTTATTTGTTTCCTATCATA